AGCAATAATGTATAAAAAAGATCTTTCATTAGATGATAATGATTATCTTGATATTGTTGCAGATGAGGCTATATTTTATAAATTAATAAAATATAAGGAAAAATAGTCTAAACTACATCCTTTACTTGGACAATGGCATACTTTCAAGGATTTTTGTTCAGTTTTGCTTGTACTTTTTTTAAGCTATGGTATCTTAAATTTTGCTAGTGAATTAGGAGTTCGATTTCTTGATAAATTAAAAACTAATATTGACTATCATTCTACATCACGAGTATTGAATCTTATTTAGACAACAATTGGAATTGCTATTAATATCTATATTAAAAAAAAATATCTTTAAATATGATAATAGATGGTAAAAATGATCAAAAAATATTGCTTAAAGTTTGTTACCTATATTTTCAATGGGCATGAATATGGAAAGCACATCGAATTGGAATAAGAAATAGAAATCACAATTTGTAATGAAATTGTTTAATATCAGCAGCACCACTTTATGCAAGTGCAGGTAAATACAATTATACTACTACTATTGCATATCATCTTTCTATTTTACATACTTATCCTCAATTCAATCAATCCTTACATAAAGTGAATGCATTCAAACTTCATTTGATTAATAAATCTCAAAGCAAACCTGCTTATTTTACTTTTAATGAAGCTCTTGAAATATTTAGCGTTTGATTCATAAAATAAAACATTAGTAGTAATGTGATTAATGAAGATATTTTTAAGAGAAATATAAAAGTAACCCAATCTGAAAAAGAACGTATTGACTTATTTTTGTGTGAATATTTGAAAGATATATCAGTATCTCATAGCCAATAAGCTATTAAATCTTGAAAAGAAGCTTCATGAAAATTAGTGAATAATCTAGTTGATATATTTGATATAGAAAATCCCCTTGAGCATCCAATTTTTCAGAAATATATTCCTTCTGAATTAAACAAAATAGGTTGCGAAAAACTAATTACATGTTATTCTGATGGTTTAGAATAAATTTATAAAGTATATTTGCAAGAAATTTTAAAGACAGAAAAGCGAGATTCTACTGGAAGACAATCACTTGAAGTAAAAAGAACAAGGCTTAATGATTATATGAAAATGTTAAAAAGAAAAAAAACATCACATTTATAATTCAAATAAGATTTTATAGAATCACAAATATCTAACAAATCAAACTCTGAAATACAATATCTAATTAAAAGACGAAAAACATTACCACATGAAGAACAAATCTTATTAAAATTATTAGTTTACATAGATAAGATTCCTGAACATGAATATAAAGATGTATTATATTAACTTAGAAGTGAATAGGATAGAAAAAGAGTATATGCTTGGTGGAATTATTGTGTTCAAAATCTAATAAATAATAATAATAGTTAATTATCATCAGATTTTAATGTAAATAAAAAGAAATATACAATTTAGCTGAATACTTATCTTTTTCAAGTATAGTTTGTCTTATATTATAATAAAATTTTATATTTTCTAAAGAAGCAATATATAAAGTTTACTCAAAAACTACATAAAAATACAAAATATAATTTAAAAAGAATGTCTAGGTGGTCAAATAAAAATATATTTACTTTTTTGAAAATAATCAGAAAGTTTATATTCTCAAAACACACAAAAGCTATCCTAGTAAAAGTTATCTAAAAATCAAATTATGTAACTTTAAAATGAAAAATGTGTAATGTAAATATCTAAAATCATTTTTTGTTATAATATTACTTAAAGAACAGCTTTAAAAAAAAGTTATGTTACTTAGATGTAAAGTTTTATCATTTATGTTACATGAATTATCTAATTAGTAATCGACAAGTTATGTGATATTTCCACTGACTGTTATTATCTACTATAGAATCTTTAACTAAAAACTTAGAACTATTTAAGATTTTTTTTAAATTTTTAAGAATAACAAGGTCTCTTAAAGATTCTGGTACTGCAGGTAAATTCACATTTCTAATTCTTTTAATAGATTGATGAAGTGCATTGTGAGATGAAAGGTATAGATATACTTCTTGTAAAGTATCAGCTATTGTAGATTAAATAATTTGTACAAGTTTATCATTAGTTTGTTATGCACGCTCTTTTAATACATTAATAGTTTTTATAATGTTAACCTGAGATCAGAAGCATGTTGAAGATAATGTTGATCTTTAATTAATTTAGTAGTTATCCACTTACAACATTATAATAAATTATATTTTTCACAAGACCAATAATATAAATTTCTTCAATTTTTATCTTTAATCATAAGATAACCATGAACATTAAGTTTATCTTTATTACAAATAGAATGCACAACTTCACAGATAATATTATTTATTGAGAAAGTTAGATAAAAATAGTAAAGTAAAAAAATAGAAAAGAGAAGAGTTGTTTGATCTACGTTAAATAGGAGCTATCCTTAAATAATTAATATTTGATTATTAGTAAAATGATCATATTGGTAAAATGATCATATTAGTAAAATAATTATGTCAGTAAATTGATCATGTCGGTAAATTAATCATGTCAGTAAAATAATCATGTCGGTAAAGTAATTGTAGGTAAAGTAGTTGTTAGTATAATAATTGTATCAGTAAAATAATTATCAGCAAAATGATCGTTGATAAAATATTTGTTGATTAAATTAATAGGTTCCATTCATTACAATTATTAAATCAAAACTACTTACAGATAAACAACTTATTTACATTCTTAATATGGTACTCTTTTTACTATTAGAATATCATTTACAGACCACTCCATTGTCTTTCAATGAATGTAACAAAATTTCTACCCCACTAAGACAGATTGTTAAACATAATTCGTCAATGACCTCAACTACTTCAGACTGTTTATTTAAAGGTAGCATCTTTTACAACTTAAATGATCTGTAGATTCAACAACTGAAATTATATTCT